GAGCAACACAGTGCCGCCTGCAGCCGCGCACAGATGACTTCTTTTCCAGGGAAGCCGCAGCCTCTCGGCAGCCCCGCGGCCTCTCGGCAGCCCCGTGCCCGGCGCACGCCCAGCGTGGCTGGAGAGCACAGGATCGGTCTGGGCACAACAGACCTGACAGCGCATACAGGACAGACAGCGTGCTCAATGAGATAACGAGAGGATTAATTACAAAGACAGACAGTCCCTCTGTTGTAAAGACAACCAGAAATAATATTGCTCCCGTGGAGGTTTTTTGTGTAAACAGGTCGCCGCGGTGTTTGCCTTGGGGAGCTGCCCCGCAGCGTACCTGTTGCCAACGCAGAAGTCCAGGGGTTAGAAACAGCATGTGACAGTCGGTGCGTGCGGCGAGCAGAGGTCACAGGGCTTCAGCGTTATTTACCAGCTGCTTTCTGAAGGGAAAAGCAACAAGAGCTTCAAAAGGATCTCCCGCAGAAGGTGCTGGTGGCTGTGCCAAGCAGAAAAATCACACGTCTTTTTTTATGCTCGGTAACACACCCGCCTAAAACATTCTCCATCAAGGCATCAACGCTCACACAGAAGTTAAACAAAGCTTTCGTATCGCTATGCAATTCCCTTTTAGATGCCTATGTTAAGTAATCCTCACAAACAGCGTAACTCATGCTTAGTTCAAACCACAAACTAATCAGGAATGTTTAGTATAATATTTTTCATACTGTAAGTATTAAAAACACATAATCTCAATGCACAGTAAGCCAGAGGAAACACTGCTCCCTGCTGCTCCCTGGAGCCCCGGGGGGGGTTACGTGAGTTAAATCTTAATATTCGCCCTACCACAACATGGGCTTTTGTTGTAAAAGGGATGGGCTGACTGCAGCGATCCCTCCCAGCAAGGGGGGGCCCAGGAGAGCGAGCACACGTCCTCTGAACGTCGTCATCCCACTCCACTGAGCAGGGCAGGACAGGCGGGCGTCAGCACGAAAGGGAATTAGTACTTTAACCAGTCTTTTTCTAATCACGTGAAAATGAGCACACATGACCCCAGAACTGCAGGCAGAATTATCTACCAAACGGTTCACATGCTAGTATAGCTGAGCCTCCAAGTCTCAGTAGTTCAGATACACCCACCAGAAAACTGGTTTTTATTTCTGTTAAGAATTGAGCATCTAACCGCAGGAGACCAAACATTAAAAGAGAGCACTTTACGAAGGCACGATTTCATCAACTGCCCAGCTCCAACTCTGCCGTAAACCAGGACATTCTGGGACATGTTGTTCTCGGAAACCTTGCCTGGCAGGCTTACAAATTTTATTAACGGTTATTTAACTCTCAACCATTCTTTTTCATCATTACTCTCCGGGCTCTGTTGTCTTAAAATGAAGGGGGAACTCGCCAGTGCAGGAGTTTCCTAGGCCTGAGCTGCCAGGATTTAAACAAATGGAAGTGAGAAATGTGGAAGGCATGAGTGGATGAGCTGCGATAAGGAGCGACGGCGGGAGCGCAGCCCACGGCCGGTCCGTCGGGGCAAAGAGCAGATGGTGAAGGCAACTTCCTCAGGTCATGGGTCTCTGTTCCCCTGGAAAAACAGGGCCTGGAGCGAGCCCTGCGGAAGGATCAGGGCTGTGTGGTCTCTGGTACAGTGGTTGAACACAAGGCCAGAGACAAAAGATAACTTCTAAACCCCTGAAATACGTGACCCTGGTCCACGAAGTCCAAAGTTACAGGATCTTTATTTCCATAGGATTTCTGCTCACCATAACAAGCGTGTGGATGTTATGGTTTAGCCGAGGAGTGAAACCACTCTGAGAGAAAGAGAAGCAATGGCTGCAACCGCTGATAAGAAGTCAGGGCTCGGAGTCAGCAGAGAGCTGACTATTGTGTGGGAAAGCCGTAAAACCAAAGCAACATCAAGAGCTACCAAGCGAAGGAATACTTGCAATGAGACAGTTGGAGTCCGGAGAGGACCACTGCACTGTAAAGACTTGCTCAAAATAAGCACTCGCTGGGGTGGCAATTCAGACTGCTCAGCATCTATGGGAACTGAGCTCTGAACGTATCGTGTTTCAGCAGAGGGGTTCAAACGTATCCGACTACAAAAGGAAAACCAGTCCTTGAAACTGTTTCAAGAACGGTGTCCTAAGGACAAGCTCAACTCGTTCTTCTACCAATCTCTGTATCAGGCCAATTTCCAACACGAAAAGAGCCCAGTGCGGTAACGGGAACATCACAAGCACGCAAGGCAGGGCTGTGCAATCACCGGCACCGGTACCGTACGGGTTGATCTGGGCAGAGCACACAAGCAATCAAACGAGGCTGCCGACGAGATGCATTCTGCTTACGCAGCGAACAATTATCGTAACACATTTTCCTGGCTGCTTGGCAAGGTAACGGGAGACAATTACGCAGCCAGCCTAACAGGGCACCCTAACAGCCACCGGGGCGGGAGCCGTCGCCGAGGCGGGCAGATCTCTCAAGTAACAAACCCAGCGAGGAACCTGTTCCCTCCAACAACACAGAAACCCTTGAAGAAGCAACTTCCCAGAAGACAGCGGAGTAGGAATTTCATATCTGTAAAAAACCACGGGCCTCTTCGTTCAGCGTACGCTATCCTCCGGCAATGCTACGGTGGGAGACGAGATTACAAACGGGGAGGTGCAGGATAAAACCCCTGCTCGCCTAGGCCGCCGAAAGCTCCCTGAAGTGATTAACAGGGCGCCGCTGCTGCGTGCGTTCCTCAAACACTCTTCTATGACCGCTGTAACTCCTTGTAGATCTCGGTGCAAGAGCAGTAGCTGATTTATAGAAAGAGATTCAAAGCAGAAAAACACCAGAGACGGCAGCAGACAAACTGAAGAAATCACCCTAAGTAGAAGAGAAGCTACCACGAGCAAATAGTTAATGGACAGAAGACAGCAGATAACAGTAGCTCTAATTAAATATTAATTTTTCTCACTTCACTCAGTGAATGCAGCTATCAGCGCTGGCACAGGCACTTTTGGGAAATAACACAGTTAAAAAAAAGCAAACAGAACAAATGACTTCAGACTATTTCAGCTGCTTCAGTTTGCAGGCCCGGTATCCAAAAGGACCCCAGAAGAAATCAATCTTTTTTAGCCTGCTACATGAATGAATGGCTGGGAGGCCTATGACTGATGCTGAATCGCCTCCTCCATCCAGAACATTTTGCAATATATAATAAATTCAGCGCATTCAAAGATTTTTTTAAACTCGCAAAAATGTAATATTGACCAAAATCCCATTACCGCGTGCCCTTTTAACAACTTTCAATCAAAAGATGTTCCCCCAATCATAATAACAAACGCACACACCAAACACTTTCGATCATTACGGAGATCAAAGCATGCAGAAACGTCCATCAGTCACAGGACTAAAGAGACACTGCAGCAGAAATTCCTGTTCCCTAATTGAATTTTCAGCTCTATCCCCACACAGAGTCACCGAAAGTTGCTGTTTTCCCTTAAAACCTGCCTTCAGGCCTGCACACCACCAAACAACACACCAGCGCACGGACACGCACCACGGCGCGCGATGAAAGAGATGGATACTCAGACTATCTGAAAAAGCGGATAAAATGCCTGTAGTTCCTACCCCGTGCCTTCTGTACCCACACAGAAAACGGGCTGTAGTTTGTACGATGGCTTATTTGACACCGCGTCGGCACCCAGGGCTGGATCACACCCATTAACAGCAGTGCCGAATGGTTCCCGGCCCCACTTGCACAGACTTGCAGGCTCCTGATCCGGTAAAAGTGAAGGAAACGCGCTGCAAACAGTTCAGCGTAGGCGGTTCTCGATCAATTCATCGCCTTCGATACTTACCCGAAATGATCAGCTCCTCCTTTAGAGGAGCTGCTGTTACAGAAAAGGTACGCAGCCTGCTAAACGGTAAATAAAACGCGACGGTTCAGCTGCACATACACTAATCGGATAAATATCTCTCAGAATCCTGCAGTATTTTCTCACTGTAGGGACGGAGCGATTAAGACACTCCAAGCCACCATCCCAGTGGATGTACTTTAAGCCTGCCCGTGTTCTGGACTTGCACTCCTGTGGTACGTGATCCAAACTGCAAAGGATTTTATTGTTCTAAGATAAAGATGAACTCAAAATCACGCGGCCGAAAGGTTACACAAGAATTGTGCAGCCTTAATCCCTGCTCATAAGTTGTCTGAAACTCTGAGCTTACAGAAGAACGTAGTTCTCCACAAAACGTGTGTGAGTGCTTCTGGTCAGCAAAAGTGCTGGGATCCCTTTGCGGGGACACTGCCAGGTCTCAGCGGACACGCCAACCTCCTCCCGCCACAGGGAGCATCGCTGCTGAACAACCCATAAAACAATAAAACATCTCCACTAGGATCAGATTCAGACTGGTAAGAAGAGAAGATGAAGAGCTAGCCCAGCAAAACGGCAATCGACAGCAGCTCCCAGCTGCCCTGGGTGAGCTAACGGGCGTCCTGCGGCTGTACGCAGGAGCTCTCTCAAATACAGACCCAGGTACACGCCACGCACACACCTGCATTTTGTGACGCTGTATGCACGTGTGCGCGTCTGGTGTTACTACAAACGTCTCCTTTCTTCACGTGAATAGGCCGCGTGAGCAATTTACATGGCCTTAAAGGCTAAGGACATAGGACAGGCTCCATTGTCACTCATCATGAGAATTTCCCTTAGAAAAAATCAGCGCGGGAGGCAGAACTCATTTCAATCCCAAGGATGAAGATGTCAGCTCCATGACGTGACCTTCATACTGCTCGTACAAGACCAGCACTAATTAGGTCGTTCCACTTACATCCGGTAACAGCTCTCTGAGGGAAGCGGTTTCCGTCGCTACCAACTTCTTCTGAACTCAGACCGATAACCTAACAGCTCCCCGAGACATCATTCATAAACGAATCCAGCCAGCAGGAGTCACACACCGCAGCGAAGCGGGGGCGCTCTGGGGAGCGTGACGCACCAACCCTGCCGTTCTGAAGCCGTTACCTGCAGAGCGGAGGCGTCAAGGCCGAAGCAGAACTTCTCCCAGGGCCCGCTGCTGCCGGGGGCCTTGGCGAGCCCGATGGCAGCGTTGTGGGCAGACACGCTAACGCTGGTCTCGGGGGACGCCAGCCTGTTTGCGGGAGAAAACTGTAAGAAGAGGGCATAGGTGCCCGTGGCACTGGAGAAGCGGAGGCTGTAGTGGTGCGTGCCCACGTCCCCGCTCAGGCTCTGGGGCCGGATGCCGGGCACGGGCAGGAGCAGGGTGAGGGAGGCCTCGTCCTGCCGGCACTGGAAGGGAGGGCACAGGGCGGCCTCGGG